CTCCGAATTACAAAATGTCAATATGATTTTAATATTTTAAATTCATCTCTCTTTATTATTTAATTACTTACAATCAATCTACATATCTATATGTATAATCTATATCTATATATTAGAATATAAAAATTATCTCTTAATTATATATTTTTTCTATTTATGTATTTTAATTATTGTACAAAAATGAATATGTCAATTACTACTCCTTCATTTATTCATATTCTTTCATATAAAAATTAATAATCTTTATTTTCATTACTCCTATGACTTTTGATGATTATTACTTCTAAATTATACCAATAGTCATGATATATATATATATATATATATATATAACACTCCTTTAATTTTCTTCATTTATGTTACATATGCTATGTTAGAAAATTAATTTTCTTTTAACTCTTTTAATTATGAGAAAAACTCAAAAGTCCCTTATTTAATTAATATTTTCTCACGCTATTGCATCCATCCCGTTCAAGCTAATTGTTGCTCTTAAATAACCTATAAATGGGTTCTTTAAAATTTCAGTTTTTTTTTTAATCTTTGGTTACCTATTATAATTATCTATTTTAAAGACCTTTCTTAACCATTATTGCCATAATCACATACTTATGTAACTAGTACTGATGCTATTACTGCTAGTATAGTAGCTACTACTTTAGAAGATAGAGATGCTAATATATCTACTACTAATGCTGTAATGTTCTAATATATATAAAATTATCTCCGTTTCTACCAAAAAAAATTCATATAACTTATTGATTATTTATAATATTGTGGTATTAGATAAAGATTAAACCACAGAATTTTTTTATTATCGCGCGAAGCGTGAATAAGTTTACTAGCTTATTTATAACAAGTAATCATCCACTTACACCTCTTTAATATTGATCCTCCTTTTAACTTTACCAATGTTCAAAAATAATAATATTGATCCTCCATTTACTTTCTTTTTATTTTTTTCAATAACTCTAAATATTTGATTTTCTTCTCTTCACCACAATTAATATTTATTTTATGTAATGAATGAGTAATTACAAATCAAATTACTTCTACTACGTTATCACACTATTCATTCCAATAGTCACATTTTCTTTAATCACCTTCATTACTCTTACACTCTTTCTCTAGCCCATTTTTTTTAATAATTTTAATGTATATTAAATGTGATATTCATATAAAATATAAATGCTCAATCCTTTTTTTGTATATATAAATCAAACAAGACAATACTCATCTGTATTGTTTTACTTTTGAAAGTATTTGGTCTTTTAGATTTTTCAATTATGATTCTTTTAGTTTTTTAACACTTTTTTACTTAAATAAAATTCATATCTTTCTCAACATGTAGCGTCTTACTGTTTAACTTGTCATATCACCTAAATTCACATAAATTTCATTTACATGTTTCCAATCCCCATTTCTTGAGGATCAGTACTTATTATGGCTTTCGAGTGTGGTAATAGATTAGTATCACATTTTTTCGATTTTTATCATTAACTACGACTTAGAAGTTAAAGAATTAAAAGACATAACAAGGAGGGAGAAACTGCAAGTGTCGTCACTTCTTGAATGCAGCCACACTTGCACAGAGGAATTCCCTTTCATATCCTGCTGTTGATTCCTCTTCTTCATGTTGCATTTTTGGTGGATTAAATTGGCCAGCTCCATATGCCAAATTACATGGCCTAATGTACATTTTTTTTTATTAAAGTAATAATTTTTATTGTTGATGTGGTTTTCTTTGTTCATGGTTCTCATTATTTTTCGTTTATATGATTGAAACTTTGTTTGTCATATTCTTGTATGACTACTATGTTTTTGTATGTGTATAGGTTATAACTAAGGCCTCAAATTGGCTCTCGCTCGCTTTGGCTTCGCGCTTTTGCAACATACATTTTATTTTTATAACAATTCTCTTAAGTTTTGTTCAAGAAAACATGAGATCGAATAATTCAATTAGCTCATAATTGTGCAATTACTTAAAAGCTAAATTATAGAAGTTTTTTTTATATCCTTGAGTTTTTACTATTTATCTCTCAAGTACTAGATTGAGCAAGATATATGAGTTGTTTCTGTTATGTGATTGAAGTATTGATTTTTATATATAATTCTAAATTTTGTAATGGAGCTTTTTCCTACATAAATTAAAATGGGAAAATATTATATAACATAGAATTGTGACAATAATTACGTCAACAAATTCAGTATAATCACACAAAGTGGGTCTATGAAGGATAGAATATAAACCTTACCAATATCTTATAAATCGATCCCAAATCTCTTATGTGAAAAGTTACTTATCCAACCAACTCAGTAAACCACGATAGATGTTGAAATGATTAACACTAATATCTAATTTTAGGGACCAACCATGTGCAAGTGATTGAGATTTTTTTGGGTACTGTATTCAGTGTTTAGTATCCACATTAAAGTCCGACTAAATTCGAATCCATACAAAAAAGTTTCACATTAAGATTAAAACGCTCTCTAACAAAAATAACTATGTACTCCGAGTACTCCTTATTGGTGTCCCTGCCGTTCAAAAAGTAGAGCATATAAACCCTTTAAACTAACGGACATAATACTCAAATTCAAAACATCTGATAAGATTATGACTCGTGTATGTCATACTCAAACTAACGGACATACACGTGCATGTATTCAAAACTCAAATTCAAAACATCTGATAAGATTATGACTCGTGTATGTCATACTCAAACTAACGGACATACACGTGCATGTATTCAAAACTCAAATTCAAAACATCTGATAAGATTATGACTCGTGTATGTCATACTCAAACTAACGGACATACACGTGCATGTATTCAAAACTCAAATTCAATACATGGTAGGAAATCATGCATGAAATCCTCTGTAATAGGGTAAAAGTTCAATTATCCAACCAACTAAGCTACTAACGGTGATTGTGGTCCGTCCAACTGAAACAAGAAACATAAGATTTACTACATCATATATAACCCATTCATATCAAAAAGAAAAATTGTCTTGCCATTTCAACTTTATGTAATCTTCCGTGTTGTCAATATATTCTATTAAGTGAAACAAAAAGAGGTCATGCTAGCTAGTAAGTAAAGGGAAATGAAGGGGCCGGGGAGGCATATTGTGTTGAACGAATGGATTCAATGAAAGCAACAAAGATCTTAAAATTACTTTTCATTTTAAACATTACATTTGCTACTACATTAATACTTGATATTTCCTTCATTGTTTTCAAAGACACTAGTTGATTGTCAAATCTCACCCCACCAAAAGTAGTAGTAGTATTAATTAACGTGGTTGTAGTAATCTCCTTCTCTTGGGTATTGCCTTGAGACCCATTTCGCTCTCTATAGTTACAGAAGTAGTACTGCTAGAAACACTATCAATAGTCATTTTTATTATAAACTCTAGTATTAATTGCAGGTGTTTCTTCTTTGTCTGTAATTCCATCCTTCAATGCAATGCAGCAAATATAAAGATAATAACACTTTCCCCATGGCCCTTCCTCTTTTCCCTATTGTCCTCTCTTGAGAACATGATAGGTCCTTATCATCTTCTAGCTAGCTAGCTTCTCTTTATCATTCTCTCAGTGAGATCTTCTTAACTTAAGATGTAAAATTCTACAACCCTAGCTCATTATTATGCTTTTGTATTCGAACCTTCACTTGTGGAGGAAGTCTGGTGTGTTCTCATTGATCGACCACTTCCAATTTCACAAACTTTGAGAGTAAATTAAATCAACTTGTACCTTCACCCTGACACAACTAGCTAGGTAAAATTTTATTAATATATAGTAGAGATTTTCCTACCGCAACTCCTAATTAAGGAGAAAATTGATTCCTTAACAAAGTATGTTGGTTTAAAGGAGATCCAAGCCATAGCCAACACTAAAATTAGCACCATAAATAATTAAATGGCATCATCAAGTACGAATACCTATCCTTAGCCATGATTTAATAGTTTGGTTTACACATCATGTTAATGAAATCTTCTTGCCAGCTGAATCACATAAGAATATTGTATCTATTTTACAATAACCCAATTTTACATTCGCCTTTAATAATGTACTGTTTAGGGATTTGAATCTGGAGCTCTTCTAATTCGGGCCATCCATATGAGAACTTATCAACTACTGCGTATTGTAGGTTCTCTATGGTATTCATTCGATCTACTTCAACTTCAGTTCATGTAATTCTAGGAACCCCATTATTAATAACAGAGCTTTTTAATGGGAATAGGTTCAATTGTCGAATTGACTTGGATTGTTGTTGTGTAACCCCTTAGCACATTAACATATTGATTGATTCTTCAAAGGAGTAGTCTCGCTATCACTAACTTCAACACGCAAATTTGTAGGCGTGATAGGTAAACTAGGATCGATTGTATTGCTTAAAGAAGGGTGCGACAAAGGTGGGAAGTCAGTTATATGTTGCTGGTCGGCCGGGGAGGATGGCTGACTAGTGGCTGGAGCAGCCATCCGCGGCAATATCAGCCGCCGTGAAAAGTTAGAATTAAATATGTACTATGAAGAGTTCTAAGTTAAGATTTAACTTATGAATTTTAGCTTCTTTTTTTTATTATTATTTTATTTTAAAATTAGTGCTTAGAAGTAATTTTTTTTAATCATACTCAAACACCATAAAAGTGCTAAAAGCTATTTTGATTTAAGAATATCTAAAATAAATCAAATCAAACAAGTTCTTAGACATATTGTTGAACACTTCCGTTGCAACAATTTTTTAATTTAAATCATAGTAGAATTAGTAAGGTGAATTTTCCTATCTACAAACAAGTGGTTCTTCATCCTTGTAATGCTAGAGAGACAAAAAATATTCTGAAAAATAGTTTTCTCTATTCATCAATGATACAGTAGAAAGCAAATATTTATAGCTATACAATTGAAGGGTTAGAGTTCTATTCTAGGAAGGAGTATTTATGGTTATAAATGTATATTTTGTAAATCAGTCCTATTCTAAAAAAGAATATGTTTTATGATTACTATACAATTATAGCTTTTCCTAACATCCTCCTCAATTGATACCGGTGATCACAAAGTAGCAATTTGGAGATAAGATATTGATGCCGCGCTCGTGTCATCGCCTTTGTAAACAAATCAGCAAGTTGATCATGAGAAGGAATGTGTTGTAGAGTGATGAGACGATCGATAACCAATTCTCGAATGTAATGGCAGTCCACCTCTATATGCTTTGTGTTTTCGTGTTGCACCGGGTTTGTGGCTATTTTAATCGCACTAGTGTTATCAACATGTAGCACTGTAGGAGATGTAAAAGCGACACTGAGCTCAGATAATAGCCGTCGTAGCCAAACAATTTCCGAACTTGCTGCCGACATATCACGATATTCAGCCTCTGTAGATGATTTAGATGTATGGGACTGTTTCTTACATTTCCAAGATATCAAGGATGTGCCAAGAAACATGCACCAACCAGTAACAGAGCGGCGAGAATTAGGAGAACCAGCCCAATCTGCATCAGTATATCCTTCAAGATGTATAGAAGAATCAGAACGAAAAAGAACACCTTGACTCATAGAACCACGAACATATTGAATGACACGAAGTAATGCAGTGTGATGTATACGGTAAGGATTAACCACAAATTGACTTAGAACTTGTACTGCATATGAGATGTCTGGCCTTGTCATAGTGAGATAAACTAATGATCCCACCAACTGCCGATACAATGTTGGATCATTGAATGGTTCTCCATCAACCTCCTTGTACTTCGTATTAATCTCCATTGGGGTGTACACAACCTTGTCATCAGTAAGACCAACCCTTGTAACAAGATCACGAGCATACTTTTGTTGTGTAAGCATGATCCCAGTAGGCAAGTGTAGAACCTCAAGTCCAAGAAAGTATGTTAGTCGTCCCAAGTCCTTCATCTTAAATAAGGTATGCAATAATTCTTTCAACTTAGTAATATTCTCTGGATCATTTCCTGTGATAATGATATCATCAACATAGATGAGAAGTATTGTGATACCTACTGGAGAAGTACGAAGAAACAAAGAAAAGTCTAAAGAACTCTGAGAAAAGCCCGCAGCTTGAATCATGGATCGAAATTTGTCAAACCAAACTCGGGGAGCCTGTTTTAAGCCATAAAGAGATTTTCGAAGATGACAAACTGCATTTGGTCTTGGCAGAACACACCCAGGTGGTGGTTTCATAAACACCACTTCTTCCAGATCGCCATGGAGAAATGTGTTTTTCACATCCCAACAATGTATGTACCGTTGTCATCTTAGCAACAGGTGCAAAAATCTCCTCATAATCCACCTCGTACTACTATTTGTACCCTTGAGCAACTAATCGAGCTTTGTAGCGATCAATTGTACCATATGCCTTAAGTTTAATGGAATACACCCACTTACTTCCAATAAGAACTCCAACTATTGGTTTATCAACAAATTCTCAAGTAGAATTTTCATTCAATGCACGAAGCTCTTCTGACATTGTCTCTTTCCAACAAGTTTGTGTAGAAGCCTGAGAGTAATATGTAGGTACATCAACAGAATGTAGTGTGGTATGCATGGCATAAGACTTACCAAATTTCCCTGGAGAGTAACCGAGCCGTTCAGGATCATGGCGATCTATTCGACTAGATCGGTGTGGGGGAGTAACTGGATGAGACGATTCCTCTTCGGAAGATGAGGATGCGTTTGTAGAGTCAATAATCGAAGAACAGGACATCTGGAGATCATCATGATCATAGGTCATGGCCTGCTCCAGAGGATTAGTAGCTACCGCATCATCATCAAACTTATACAAAAAGGAAACAGATTCCGAAGCATGTTTAGAATTGTGTTTGTAAGAAAATTGACCCTAAAAAAAATAACATGTCTACGAAGCTGGTGATGCGATGCATCATAACATAGATACCCCTTTTATGTGTCACTGTAGCCCACAAAAATGCATTGTGCTGGAAAATGGACAAAGCAAACACAACCAAAAACTCGCAAGTGAGAATAATCAGGCTTCTTATGAAATAATTTGAAGTACAGTGTCTCATTAGCAATGACTGGGAAAGTTTGTCTATTAATCAAATATATAGAAGTATGTACTGCTTCAGGCCAGAAACTCTTAGGCATATTAGATGTGCCCAACAAAGCCAATGTAGTTTCCAAAACATGCCGATTCTTCCTTTCTACGACTCCATTTTGTTTCGGAGTATGAGGACAAATGCGTTGAGAAATAATTCCTCTGTTTTTAAAAAAACTCAATAAGATTAGTCTTAGTGTACTCTCCTCCAGAATCAGAACGAAATATTTTTATAGATTTATGAAACTATATATACACATACTTAACAAAATTCATAATAAGAGTCAGAACCTCAAATTTATTTTGAATAAAAAACGCCCATGTGTATCTAGATACATGATCAATAAATAACACAAAGTACTTATATCCCATCCTTGACAAAGTAGGAGAAGGACCACAAACATCACTATGCACCAAATTAAACAGATCGTCATAAGAAGATGAACTGGATGGAAAAGGGAGCTTGTGACTTTTCGAACCGGCACAATTAGAACATGTCAAAGGAATACTTGAATGAATGCCATGTGTTGCTGGAATACATGATTTGAGCATGTGCTGAAGTCGAGAGGAATGAGGATGGCCCATCCTATTATGCCAAAGGGTGAGCAACTTATTCGAGCGAGTAACATCTGCGGCAGAAACTGAAAGAAACCAATGATGCAAATGATAATGAATCGAATCTAGTAGAAACATTCTGCCAACTCTACACCCCTTGGCCATAGTCATCCCGATTTTCAGATTCTAAACAACACAATCATTAGGTGAGAATTTTACAACACAATTCTAATCAACTAGATGACCTATCGAAATCAAATTAGCCTTCAAATTAGGTACATAAAGAATGTTAGACAAATTTCCAACAGAACCAATACCCGAAGCGGGAAATGTATGCCCGTTTGTCGTATGAATAACATGTTTAGAAACATCATCATACAATGAAGAAAATTGGGACAGATCTCTGGTCATATGATTGGAAGCACCTGAATCTAGATGCCAAGTAGATTTAATAGAATTACTTGTACCTGAGAATGCAGAGAGTGCACTTGAGATGGCTCCGGGAAGGGCAACTGCTATAGAATCTTGAATCAACCTTTCAAGATCATGTCCAGAAGGGAAGGAACCAGCCGATTTAGTGACATCCGTCTGGTATGCTTGGTAAGCAGGCCGTGAACGATTTGGACGATGACGACAGTCCAAAATATGATGGCCAATAATCTTACAGTAAGCACAAAATAATTTCTTCTTCTTAGGACAATTGGCTGCTATGTGACCAAAGTCGTTGCATTCATAGCACTAGACATTTCTCTTAGTATTTCCTGATGAAGTACCGATAGTTGATTTTTGTGCAAGTAATGCAACAGCGGGTAATGACATCGACTCCATGGCTGCCTGAGTTCCAAGCCTGGTCTCTTCACGCAAGACGGTTGCCAACATAACATCAAGAGCAGGTGTGACTTCTCTGTTCAACAAACTACCACGAATCGACTCGAATTCATGCCGGAGTTTCATCAAGAACTGTACCATTCTTGTCCTTTGTCGTTCTCCCAACATTTCCTTGAGCCCTGCGGTAGACATATTTCTCCCAGAAATTTGATCATGTTCTGACCAAAGCAGCTGCAAGCCAGCATAAAAGGAACGAACATTCTTGTCCCCTTGTGTATATTCAACAATGTTGCGTTCCACTTCAAACTCTCGTGCTAGATTGTTTTGTTGGTAGACGTTACGCAGGTGGAGCCACATCTCTGAAGCTAAACTAAATGGTCTAAGTCCCATAACGATGTTAGCATGTACCGAATTCAGCATCCAAGCGATTACCTTTGCATTATTCAAATACCAGCGATCCAACTCTTTTTCATATGTTAGCAGACCAGCAGAACCATCTAACCACCCAAAAAGGCCCTTTCCTTGAACAAAAATTCCAAAGTGGAATTCCCATATAGAAAAATTGGAACCATCCAATTTTGTGGAGAGCAAATCGTGCGAGGATGATTGTGAATTCATTGAGGAGACAAAATACAAGAGAGAAAGAGAAAAAAAAAGGACAGATGTCTGTGTATAGAAAACAAAGAGACAAGAGGAACGCAGGAAGGTAACAAGGTACCTGTGTAGAGAAAGCAAAGAACACGATTTTTTTTAAACGATGGCTCTTGATACCATGCTAGAGAGACAAAAGATGTTCTAAAAAATAGTTTTCTCTATTCATCAATGACACTGTAGAAAGCAAATATTTATAGCTATACAATTGGAGGGTTAGAGTTCTATTCTAGGAAGGAGTATATATGGTTATAAATGTATATTATGTAAATCAGTCCTATTCTAAGAAAGAAAATATTTTCTGATTACTATACAATTATAGCTTTTCCTGTAAAAACAATGTAGATTTGATGTATCATCAAAATATTGGAAGTTGATACAAAGCCAAAAAAATTGATACTTTAGATTTTTGTAGACTAATTTTGTAGTAATTTGTTCCAAAGAAAACTACTGACAAAATGACCTTAAAGGATTTTAGTGTTTGGATAGTAATTTTTTTAAATAAAAAAATCATTAAAGAATTAGTCAAAAGAGATTAAATATTTTTTATTCAAATCACGCATTTTAAATAAAGGGCCTCATCAAGTACGAATACCTGTCCTTAGCCACGATATAATAGTTTGGTTTAAACATCGCTGGCTGAATTGCATAAGAATGTATCTATTTCGTAATAACCCAATTTTACATTCGCCTTTAATATTGCACTATTTGGGGATTTGAATCCGGATCTCTTGCAATTCAAGCCACCCATATGAGAACTTATCAACTACTGTGTATTGTAGGTTATCTATGGTATTCATTCGATCTACTTCAACTTCAGTCCATGTAATTCTAGGAACACCATTATTATAGCAGAGCTTTTTAATGGGAATAGGTTCAATGGTTGAATTGACTTAGATTGTTGTTGTGTAACCCCTTAGCATATTGATTCTTCAAAGGAATAGTCTCGCGATCACTAACTTCAGTACGCAGATTTGTGGGCGTGATAAGCAAACTAGGATTGATTATATTGCTTAAAGAAGGATGGACCAAAGGTGGGAAGTCAGTTACATGTTGCTGGTCAGCCGAGGCTGACCAGTTGCCGGAGCAACCATCCGCGGCAATATCAGTAGGGTCATTCTAGGTTTTCGTAGCCGCCGTGAAGAGTGAATTAAATATGTTATGTGAAGAGTTTTAAGTTAAGATTTAGCTTTTGACTTTTAGCTTTTTTTTATTAATTTATTTTAAAAACAAGTGGTTAGAAGTAATTTTTTTAATCATACTCAAGCACCATAAAAATGCTAAAAGCTATTTTGGTTTAAAAAATACATAAAAATAAATCAAATCAAACAAGTTCTTAGACATATTGTCGAACACTTTCGTTGCAACGATTTTTTTTTAAAAATTTATACCATAGTAGAATTAGTAAAGTGAATTTTCCTATCTACAAACAAGTGGTTCTTCATCATTGTAAAAACAATGTAGATTTGATGTATCATTTGAATATTGGAAGAATGACCTTATAGGATTTTAGAGTTATTAAAGATAATTTGGGGTTTACAAAAATTATATACACCGCCGTCTGTGGGGATCGAACCCACGACCACGTGGTTAAAAGCCACGCGCTCTACCACTGAGCTAAGACGGCTAATATGTTACACAAATTTTTTTATATTATATAAATCGTTTACTTCTAGCTTTCATATAGCTCAACATTAAAGAAGAAGCTTTAACTATTTTTCCTTTTTCGAATTTAAATTTTAGATATCAATACAACGAGTGAAAAAAAAATCTCTACCAAAACTACATATCATTTATTCATAAAAAAAAGAAGATTTGTTTGATTATTGTGTTGTTGGAAATTTAGGTCAATGTATCAAATAAAAGTAGATCAATCTACTAAAATTAGGAAAATATTATCAATCTAGACACCAAAGTCTTACTCAGCTATATTGATAAAAATAAAATAAAATTACATAGTCTATGCTTCCATTCTCACCTAAAGAGGATAAAATAGATCATTGTACTTTTATTCTCACCCAATCTAATGATTTAAATTTGTTGACTGATTTTTTTTTCCAAACTCTTACCCCAAAGAAGTTCAACATGAGTACAT